AATCAATTTTTCCCATAAAAAATAACAGAAAATTGATTAATCCGTTCTCAACCACCAAGTTTTTACCCTAACCTTGCTTTTTTTTTTTTTAAACCTTGCCTTTTTATACAAAACATTACACAGAAATTTTGACTTAAATACTGGTAAGTTCAGAGTTGAATCACAACATTTAAAAAAAGTGTTTAACAACTACAGTATGGCCCATACCTTGAGATTGATGAGGATCTGGATCTGAGGACACGGATGTGGAGAGGAAGTGTGGAAAGAGATTGTTTGGAAGGCGGGGATCCCTTTCCATAAAATCAACTGGTAGCTGCTTTTCAGTTTTTTCCCTTCTTTGCCTTTTTTTCTCTGGGATCTGGCTGGCTTTCTCTGAAAAGGAAAATCTGTCTAATGTGGTCTGTTGTTGGCATTTCCTTGACTGTGTTCTAAAAGGGTTTACTAAATTATTATCAACAATATCGATAACATGGCTAACCATTTCCTTATCATGATGATTCTTTTTAAAAAAAACTCATGACCCATGTTTTTTGGTTTTGTTTTATTTTTTCTAAAAACAGGACAAAAAGCCACAAAAACTAAGAAAATTATAGCAAAATGCTTGGAACACAGCCGCTAAAGGTTTAAACATTCGTACTAACAATGCCAACTAGCACCAAGTGACTGAAACACAAACTGCTTTTGTTTACAATAATCACGTGCGTCAGATTCCAATGTTTTGTTCGAGCTCCAATGCAAAATTTTGTGGACATTTTGCGTGGAAATCTGCTGATGGCCTGTCGAGTGCTGATGCGGTTGAGTAGTAGTGTATCCCCCGACCTTTCCTACAAGGCAGTCATCCTCAGTACTCCTTTCCCTGAGATGTACCATATGTACTCGAGTGTAAGCCAAGCGGAGTATCAGCCAAGGCACCTAATTTTACCACTAAAAATGTGCCGAGAAACTCGGCTTATACACGAGTATATACGGTACCTCTTAATTCTGAGTTGTGTGCTGTGCTTTTGTTCTATTTTTTAAAAACCCATTTGAAAAAATCCATTTGCGATATTTTCTAGAGTCAGGTGAACCTATCCTCACTGAAGAGTCGGGTACAGCTGTCTCGGACGTCTCCTTCTTGTGTTCCTGCAGGTGTCTCGTTGTGCTCTGTTGTGGTGTCCTTCACGTTGAACGAAGCTGGGTGATCTGGAAGCAGTGGGCACGGACGCTCTCGGGGTCACGGTGGTTCTTGGTAGTTCATGGTGGACTTCGTTGTAGGGTGATCAGACTTAGACTGCCTGTTTCACCTGGGGACCTTCATGTGTCAGTGTCTGGGTGTCTGGTCTTACTTTCTCTAGAGGAGAATCTTCAACCTGCAGCCTGGTGAGGAGGCTGAAGTCAGGAATGCTTGGATCTTTTGGGTCTCAGTGATGAAATTGGGTTTGGAGTCCTAGAGCTAATATACATATGGACTTCACTTATACTGGTTTCCAACCCAGTGCTTCCAGAGACTGACTTCCAGTGAATCTCCCTACGTTCAGGCCAGTGGCTGATACCTGTGTCCAGAGGTACCTGGTGCAGAATCTGCGGAGTTGTGAGAGGCTCTTGCTAGGGCTTGTAGCTCCTCTGATTCTGTCTTCTATTGTGTGCAAAACTTGTTGAACTCCCTCATTTGCTTCTGTCTCTTCCCCTGCACTCTATTTTTTTAGGTTAATATTTTCTTCCTGATAGCTGTTTTGGAAGGAATAAATGTCTGTGGCCCTTGGACCACTTTGTACAGTGAGTTGGTTATCAGCATTGTGAATGAGCTTCCTAGGAATGGGTGATTAAAATGTGAAGCCCACAGATTCAGAGCTTAGTCCTGTCTTATCTTTGGCTTCAGCGCTGTCTCTGCCACCTCGTCGGCATCCGTGGGTCTGCCTCAGCTTTTCTTTGCTTTCTCTTGCCTTCCTCAGCTCCCCTTCTCGATAAGCCACAACAAAAACCCTCAATAGTGAAGGAAAACATCTTTATTCAGCATATCTTTATGAATAGAGTGCCTGCACTGTGCTTAGCATTACACCAGGTGCTAGAGATACAATAATGAGTAAAATGAACACAGCCCCTCCCCTCAAGGAGCTGACCATCTCATTAGCTTTAACAAATGACCGCTTCACTTTTTATTGCTTGTGGTGTTTAGGGAAGAATACATGACCTTTTTCACCAGAACTGACCAAACTGGTTTGGCAGTATTTGACCTACTGCCCCCCTTTCAGGAAACTTTTTTTTTTTTAACTTGGGAATTTTTTAAGTAAATTAAGCTGTTTTTGTCCTTGGCCCATAATCCCGGGTAAATTGTACAGGTCTTCTTTGCAGCTTCCTGGATCTTTCTAGCTGCCCCCTAGGGGTCAGCAAAGCACATTTGGGAAACACTGATGTAGAGGGAAGTGCTACCAGTGCTTTTAAGCTGCCCTGTAAAGAGACTTTTCCTCTGGCCCCGAGTAGAAAGTTCAGTTGTGGAAACTATGAACTTCATGCCAGAACCCAAACCCAAACGTGGTGAATTTCCTGACAGTGAAACAGTTGCCACACCACCAAGGGCAGAGACGGTGGTCACTTTGAAAAGGGTGGGTGCTGAGAGTCCTAGAGCCAGCGGAGATAGGCTCTTGATAATTCTTTTTCCAGGTCAAGGGTCGTGATAAACACATAAATAATCTGAAAAAGAAATGTCAGAAAGAATCAGAGCAGAACCGGGAGAAGCAGCAACGTATCGAGACTCTGGAGCGCTATTTAGCTGACCTACCCACCCTGGAAGACCATCAGAAGCAGAGCCAACAGGTAATAGCAATATCCGGGCACGCCTGGGGCAGGCAGGGTCACCTTCTCAGCATCTGTGACATACAGTTTACCCGATAGCTTCTAAAAAGCAGGGCTTCAAAGCAAGTCATTTTAGACTTGACACCCCCTGCCGCCGCCGCTGCCACTACCACTAAGAATTTGTATTTCTACCACAACCCAAACCACACTGCCGCTGAGTTGATTCCAACTCACAGTCTGTAGAGCCCTTGGGGTCTCTAAGACACTACACCTGGATGAGGGCGATAGTCTCTGGCTCCTGTGGACCGACTGGCGGCGGATTGAAGCTGCCGACCCTGAAGTGAGCAGCTCAGTGGAGAAGCCTCCATGCCGCCAGAGTGCCTGTGTCCACTCCAGATGGAATCAGTCAGAACCTACATGTCTAATAAGGACTCCAGGGGAAGCTTATGTACACATCAGAGTCACCTGGGCTTCTAGAGGGGCCACCAAAACTCTCCCAGGAAATCTAACTTAATGAACTAGTTATAAAAGCCTTGATTAAAGAAAATTCTCAAGAGCCATGTCTAAAATCTATCAAATTTGCAATTGGACTGGAAGTGTCTAAAGGAAGCCAAAGTCTCCCTTGCTTGTTGGTCTAAATGTGGGGTCCTGTTTGTCAGCTGAAGGAATCTGAGCTGCGGAGCACAGAGCTGCAAGAGAGAGTGACGGAGCTGGAGAGCTTGCTGGAAGAGACGCAGGCAGCCTGCAGGGACAAGGAGGCACAACTGGAAAGCCTGCGACAGAGGGAAGCTGCTGGACCAAGGTAACTACTGCGGTGGGGTCAAAGGAGAAGTGGTGCGCCCTGAGTGTTGGTCTGGGCGGTCCTACATGCACCTGTGGGACATTGGGGAAATCACGTTACTTCGCTGGGCTTTGGTTTCTTTAGATTGTAAGTCATATGAAAGCCTCTTAGGGAATAAGTATAAGGAGGCTTCAAAAAGTTCCTAGGAATAATGGAATGAAAAGGTAGCGGTGGGGGCTGTGCAGCAGGGCTTGTGTCTACCCTCTGGAAGGACGGCACTGTGTGGAAGGAGCCCTGGGGGCGGAGGCAGTTAAACGTTGGGCTGCTATCCACAAGGGCATTGGTTCAAACCCACCAGCTGCTCCACAGGAGACCTATGAGGCTGCCTGCTCTTAGAATGGTTTACTGCCTCTTGAGAATGATGTACAAATGCGCTTTATACAATTGATGTGTGTATGGATTGTGATAACAGTTGTATGAGCCCCTAATAAAATGTTTAAAAGAAAGAAAGAAAGAAAAGAAAGGTTTACTGCCTCAGAAGTGCTCAGGCGATTCTACCCGCTGTGTGTGAGAATCAACTGGGCCCTGAGTTTGATTTGTTTTGAAATACAAATGTGAGGTGAATGGAGAAACGTTAAAAACTAGAAATGAGGTATCTGCCTGTTTATAAAAGTAGATCCTCGTGAGGTGTAGGGGTTATTTACACTTCAACCTTGTAAGCAAAAGGTCACCAGGAGCCATATGTGTGTCTTCAGCCCTAGAGATTGCTTTCCGTTACTGTGGCGGGCTCTGAGAGTAGAGGAAGGTGCCTAGCATACACTCGGGGTGCCTGGGAGCCTTCTCCATTAGGCACTGCTTTTCAGTTGAGTCCTTTCGAACCGTGATGGCTTTCTTTTCATAGCCTCTTGGACCAGATCCAGTTTCTAATGGGGTGGATTGGATTTGTCATCACAGTGATCTTGTGTATCTCAGCCAGATGGGCCATGGGGGAAGTGATTGTGGGAACCCAGGAGAGGAGAACATGGAGTCAGAAGGGAGGTTAAGGATTAAAGGTGACTCTGCTCGGCGCGTGGCTAGGAAAAAGGAACTCTGTTTATCGTGTTCAAAAACGTCTGCAATGTATGTGTGTGACTTCCTGATCCAAATACAGCAGTGAATGTTTACTTTGAAAATGTCAAGACAAATCAGAAAGATTCAATGGCACGTTATCAAAGATTTTGGCCCCTCAGGAAGGGAACTAACTAACACACTGAGCAGCTTCTGGGTAAAGCAGCACATTTCGATGGACTGAAGACACTGTCCCAGCTATGGTTTGAAGACGTTGCTCATCCTGCCCACAACATCTAGTAAATAAATAGTAGAGCTAGAAATCAAAGGTCACTCTGTAGAGTTCATGAACAGGCCACGGTCTGTCTTTCAGCCTGCAAGATAAGCAGTCTGTGAGGGAAGACCGGACGGGAGACGGTCCGAAAGTAGAGCTGGAGTCCTGGCAGAAGGAGTGTGATTCCCTCCGAAAGGTAACTTGCAGGGTGTCCAGGCTGTGGTGGTCAGCAGATGGGGAGGAGAGAGAAGAAACCATGAGAGCCCAAGGCCTCCTGGCACCTGCTGTCTAGAGCTTTCACTCCCTCTCTCCCTCTCTCTCTCTCTTTCTCTCTCTCTTTTTTTTTTTTGCATTTCCTCTCTTTTTTGGAAAACCCTGCATAGTGACAGTTTGCATTTTAGATATTCACTCTTGTGACAGGCACACTTCACTCGTGTAGAATACAGACATGTTCATGGGACAACATGCCTCAGCACTCAGGGCCTAAAATGGTGCACTCAGGGCCTGGCTCCATACAGAGTCACTGGCGCTAGGCCGCGTTCTCACTGAGAGGTAGCTTCTGTAACCAGGAACAGGGAGCCTCGGAACTGCCTAATTGGTGAGCCTGCCTGAGCTGAGCCAAAAAGGAAGCCCAGAAATGGTTCAGAGAAAGCAAGGGCTCAGAAAAGTGCAGTGAGGCTGTTCCGGGCCTTTCCTTGGACAGTGTGACAAAAGCTGTATGTAAGTAACCACAGCAGTCCCCATCTCAGGGCACGGAATACATTTAGCCATGTCCTTGAGCAGAGAACCCCAAGAAGCAGGATATAAAGTGATTCTACTGGTTTCTACTGGTTTGGGGTCACTCAGGTGAGAGGTCCTCCCCCTCCAGTGGTGGTCATGGGTCCACATTACAATCGGGTTTCAACCTCTGTGCTTGGGGTGCAGTCGTGGGAGACTGGTTAGTCTGGATCAGAGCCCCTCCCAGTGGAAATCTGCCAGATTGCGAGTAGAGCTAACTCAACTTCACCCTGGTCTCACTGCCAACGGGCATAGACGGTGAGACTAGTAGTCCTGGTGCTGGCCCTTCTCTCTGACCTCACCGCTGGCATTCCGCTTGCACCTTCTGATGGCTTTTCCTTCTCAGGTGGTAGAGAAGCAGCAGCAGAAGATGGATCAGTTGCGTTCCCAAGTACAGGTGAGCAGTCATCTTTGGACGTGACGTCAGCCTGTGTGTTGTTCTGTTCTCTGCTCTGCAGCTTACTCAGTGCTAAGGTATACACCAACAAGAAAGATGAGCTTCATCTTGTTGGGAAGACAAACTAAAGGAAGTTTTGGCACAAAAGAGTGATGTCCAGTATACTGGGAGCGCAGTCGGGAAGGGAGCAAGCTAGGTCTAGGGATGCTGAAGCCTCACAGACGAGGAGGAGTTAGGCCCAAGAAGAGGGAGGAGCTGGGTAAGATGGCATTGAGTTCTAGATGGAAGGAAGCACGTGGAAGCATGAAACCGCGTGGTTTAAACCTAGAGCTGCCAGCTGTTTCCGAGTGGTGACGTTTTCCGTGTCAGGCGGTGAGTAGGAGAGGTGGCTGTTCCAACTACAGGGAGGGCCTGTTCTCTCCAGCCAAGGTAGCTTTCCTTTAGGGAGGGAATGGGATGCTGTTAAACCACTTGTTCGGGGTGTGATGTCCTCAGATTTAAAATCAAGCTTGAGTCTTGAGGAATTGGCCAGCTGAAGAGAGGCAAGGCAAAGGTCAGAGGGCTGTTGTAAAACTCTGAGTGAGAAACGGGTGCTAGAACCTGATTGAGGCAATGTAGTAGGGATGGAAATGTCAGGCGACCGATCTCAGTGATTTTTAGGAGGTAACATTGAAAGGAATTAGTAGCTGATGGCATGTGTGGAGGGGCTGCAGAATAAGGGAAAATCAAAGCTGGCTCCCGATTTCTGTTGCGGGCCAGAGCGGGACTTAGTTGGGTTCTCCCAGAAGTCCTGGGAGTGAAGAGTTCGATCACTGTTCTCAGACGCCTGGAATGCACTCAGTCTGAGGAGCAACTGAAAGCTACAGCACACGCCATTGTGTGGGGTCTGGACTGTGTATATATATGTCACCTTACTTTAAGTCCTTGGCCTAGCAAGCTTTTAAGGAGCTCTGGTGATGCACTGGTGAAGCGCTCAGCTGCTAACTCAAAGGTGGGTGACTCAGACCCAGCAGCACATCCTTGGGAGGAGGCTGTGGTGGTCCGTTCCCATACAGTTCACAGCCACCGAAACCCTCTGGGTCTGTTCTCTGTCCTGGAGGGTCACTGAGTCCACAGCGGCTTTTGGTTTAGAGTAAGCTATAAAAGCTATGAAAGGTATTTCAAATCCAGGGCCTTAGTATAGTATTTATTGAACTTGAAAATAGGTTCCCTGGACTTCTGAGATCACACAAAAGTCGGAAAAGCCCAAAGTTTTAAAATGGTACATTTACCCATGATGGGGCTACTTAGACAAACTAAAATGCCACTTGGAATTTGGTAGAATTAGCTGCATTGAATGTGGTCATACCTGGCATTTCTTAATAAGACATTCTCCCTGGCTGTTGTATTTTCCTTATTACTATAACATGGGAAAGTTAATTTGTTTGTAGTTTATTGGAATAGTTTTTGTAATTGGGAGAAGGTAAAAGCATACATACTTTCTCTGGCCTCCCTGAGGTACGCACGGTCACACAGTGCCTACTCTACCCCATCTCGTGTGTGTTAGAATACTTCACGCACAGTGTTGTCAAGAGCTTTCAACTGGGAACTCCTCAGAGACTGGGACTGTCCTTAATGTGTGTCACACAGTTGATGTGCTCAGTAAATGTTGAACTGAATTGAACGGCATGTGTCTTGCCCTGGGGAAAATCCTAGCTGGTGGAAAGAGGAATCAGCATCCAAGTGGAATATTAAGCACATGTCTCTCCTGGGCCGTGGGAGAGGTATGAGCTAGGAAGGTGGGACTAGGGTTAGTTGGATCCAGTTTGCAGACTGAGGGAAGCTCAGGTGAACCTTGGAGGCTTCTTGGGGGTAACAGAGCAGAAGGCAGTTTAGGCAAAGGCATTGGGAGGAGCTGGGTGGAGCCTTGGGGAGGAAGCCAGTGTGGTTAGAGTGCAGGAGGGATGGAGCGGAAGAAGCAGGGATATGGCTGGAAAAGTAGGTAGGCCACAGACTGGCCTGGAATGCCCTCCTCAAGAGTTGGACTCCATGGGTAGGCTGCTGTGACATTTCTAGCAGTGAAGGGTGGGTCTGAGCAAGGATTGTGGCATGGGTCCCGAAAAGAGGGAATGGAGAGAGAAGTGTTGAGTGAGTTTCCATATTACCCTGGGTGTACTTTTCTACCACTCCTTGCTGTGTGATTCAGAGTCTAGAACAGGAAGTGGCTCAAGAAGAAGGAATAAGCCAGGCCCTACGAGAGGAGGCCCAGCGGAGGGAGACTGCGCTGCAGCAGCTGCGTACAGCTGTGAAGGAGGTGAGCAGCACCCACCAGCCCCCCTCAAACCTGATTACTCTGTTTACCTTGCTGCCCCCATGAGATCCCTGAGCTTGAGAAGACCCCGCTGAGGGGTGGGCAAGGACCTGCTCTCATCCCTCCTCTCAGAGGCCCTCGGTTTGTCTTGGCGTGAGCTAAATCACTCAGATAGACATCTTGGATGCAGGAAGTACATTGTCAGTCTCCCTGCAGCTACTGATTTGTTGGATTAGAGGGAAGGTTCAAGAAAATGGGTTTGGTATCCTTATGTAAACTGAGCTGTCAGCAGGGGGCGACCGAGTTCACTGACCAAGCTACCTAGAAAGTCAACCCCTGGAGTCAGGACCTTTGAAGCAGAACAGAGGTAAGCTGGGAAAGAACGGGAGAGGAGAGAACTGTGTAGGAAGAGGAGAGAAACAGACATATTTGAGTAGGCTTGGAAAATGGGATTGAAAGATAATAGAATTTGTTCACTACCTCTTGAAGGCCCCTCCATCGTTGGAAGACTGGCAAAGGCAGGGCATTCTAGTATTGGGTTTTCCAGTTGCTGCTTCTCCAGGCCTTCCAGTTCCCACTAGCTGTCTTACTGCCCTGTCCCTGTTTATTCCTCTGACGTCCACCGAGTAGGCTGGCTGATGGCCACCTTTGTCGGGGTGGCAGGGAGAGATTGAAAGCAGTGTCTCCTCGGATTTCACAGTTCAGGTTAAGCCTTCTCTAATAGCCTGGCTCACAGAGCTGGCTGAGGGACCGGCTTCAGCTAGCTCCTAGGGCCAGGGCCATCTCTAACTTGAAGGCCGCTCCCTCAACAAGGCTGGACCCCATGGGTCCAATGCTCCCTGCAGGAGGCCTGCTATTGGGTTGAGGGGGACCCAAAGTGTTGGTGGAAGCAATAAAAGATGTACCTGTAATTTAGCACCATCCCTTTCCCCCACCTCCCCACACATGGATACATAGGTCCATGGTCCAGCTTCTCTGTGGGCCTCTCCCTGGGCCTGGGTGAATGAGTGGCATTCCTGTCTGTCTGCTCAGCTTTCGGTGCAAAACCAGGACTTGATTGAGAAGAATCTGACGCTCCAGGAACACCTGCGTCAGGCCCAGCCGGGCTCCCCACCACCACCAGACACGGCCCAGCTGGCACTGGAGCTGCAACAGGAGTTGGCCAGTTGCCTTCAAGATCTGCAGGCAGTCTGCAGCATCGTGACCCAGCAAGCCCAAGGCCATGACCCCAATCTCTCTCTGCTTCTAGGCATTCACTGTGAGTCCCCAGGCCCAGAGAGGTGGGTGGGTATGTGGGGGGGTGGGGTATGTGTACCCTCTCTCCTGCTTCCCCATCCTTAGTGCAGTGTGGGCATAGGGCTACCCCACGTGTGTCACAGCTCGATTTGGGAAGCAGGTATTCTTATGGGGTAGCTGCAGCCAGATGCCTCAGGCAGCAAGTTAGCTTTTTAAGAAGTGCCATGTCCCAAAGCCCTGGCTGTAGGGCTGCCTGTCCATGCTGCCCCTTCACAGGAAAGCCTTTCCCAACTGACTACTGACAGGTACTCTCGACCCCTCTCCTCCCTAGCTGCCCAACACCCAGGGCCTCCGGTGGACTTGCAGAAGCCAGATGTGATTAGGAAGAAGTTAGAGGAGATTCGGCAACTGCGCTGTGACATCGAGGACTTACGGACTACCATGTCAGACAGATATGCCCAGGCCATGGGAGAAAACTGTGTCACACAGTGAGGAATGCTGGGGGCGAGGGGCAGGCCCTATTGCTCCAGGGAGGGTCTGGGCTGCTGAGAGTCCAGTCCCACCGGTCCCTGCCCTGACACTTGTGCTTACTGTCTTGTGCTATTCCTGGAGAAGAGGGGCAGTGAGTCTGCCTTGGGGGCCCAGGGTGGATCAGTGAGCCACGCCTGTTCATGGGTTTGCCTTGTTGGGTTATGTTGGTCCTCTCATCCTGATTCACCCTGAGGGTGAGTTCTTAGTTAACTTTTGCAGGCAGAGCTGCTAAGTTCTCACACACTACTACTCCCAGCCTCAACTGATGCTGGAGGCAAACATCGTGCTAGAGGATGACTGCTGTCTCCATCCTCTGGGAAGGATCACATTCACCCCCACTCTCTACTTGATCCTGCTGCTTGTCAGCACTCCTTAAAGAGGCCTGGCTGTCCGAGTCCCTAACATAAGGGCTGCTTGTGAATTCTTGGGCCTCATATGCCAGCCTTGCAGGGAGCTGAGCTAGCAGCTTTCTGGGGTCTCTCTCAGCCCCAGACTGCTGCTGCTGCTTCAGGGCTCTTGTTCTAGCAGAAACCTCTGAAGAATGTCTTCACTTGCAAAGTCCCCACAAGGGTTGGAGGCCCAGAGCTTGCTGCCGAGGGCCTTCATGTGCTCCCCAGGCCAGTCTCTCTGGCTGCCCTCTGACTCAGGGGCCCTTTTCCTCCACTCTCCATCCGCTTTGGGCTTAAATTATAAACACTTTGGTGGCTTCTGATGTGGGTGGGATTCCCCACAGAATACCAACTGTCAAGCTGTATTCCCCTCTCCTGGAGCTGGGGCCCAAGCTTGGGCTGTTTGTGCCTCAATTCCGGGGGAGGGCTTTGACTTTCTTGGCTTTGGGCTCCTTGAGAACTCGGAGTACCTTTAAGTTAAACTCCCAGTGTTTTTGTTTTGAGTTTGTATAGGGTCTTTGGACCCTCTGCTTTCCTGGGTTATCTTGCCTTCTTGGTTTAGAGGGCATCTCACAATTGTTGGTGTCTGGCTCTTGGGACTGGCCCAGGCTGACCCTAGATTGGAAGCCAGGCCAAGCAGGAGCCAGGAGGGCACGAAGGAGCCCCGAGCAGCTCAGGAGTCCCTGAGCAGCATCCTGGACCTCCCTCCTGGGTCTGAATGCCCCTCACACAGAAGGGTTTTTCCATGGTGTTGGACCCGTGGAGGGAGGGACTCTACCCTTCCACTGGAGCAGCCCCGCTGCCCTGCCCTCCGCTTCTGGGCTCCTGCTTCTGAAAGCAGAGCCGCCTGGCTGGTCTTTGCCTTGCGTTTGGAGCCCGGCCACCATGCTCACGGGTATTTTTCCTTGTAAAGTTGATAAGCAGGTATTTATATGAATCTTTGTTTATGTTAACTGGTTTGTACTGCCTATTTTGACTACAAAATAAAATATTTAACAGACTCCTTAGTTTTCTGTAGCCTTCCATCACCACCATGCCCCTACCTCACCCCTGCTGCTTTGGCTTTTTGAAGCCAAAGGCTGGTGTTTACTGAAGTGCCCAAGACAGTGGTAAATAAGGCCCAGGCTCATGCCTGGGTCTGTGCCACTTGCTTTTCTGCTCCCCCGCCCCCTCTTGTTCTGTGGGGGCACATCATACACGTACATCTACCCACACCCCTCTCTGTTGAGCAAAGTTGGCCTGAGTCATAGAGCAAGTTTGTCATTGGAAAGTGTGTCAACAGCCTGCCCAGAGGAAGTGTTACAGCTCCTGGCTGCTAGGAGGAAGCGAGGCCATCCATCTCGATTTGGTAGCAGTCTCGCTGAGTGGTTCTCTGTCTGAGCAAAAGACCTGGGAGCCACTGAGGCACAGATAGGCCTCCAAAGCTGGCCTGGCTGCGGGAGCCTGCTCTCTCTGACCTGCATTTTGCTGTGAGCAATGTGCTTTGGAGTGCCATAGAGCCCGGGTTTAGCTGGAGGCCCCCAGCAAGTGTAGTGAATCAGTAATGAATCAGTGGGGGGGGGGGGTACAGCTGAGGCCAGACTGCGGTTTCCACACCAGCTTGGCCTCTTTCCTTGTCTCCCTGGGGCTTCTTGAGGGTGTGGCCGCCACCCTTCTGTGTCCAAACCTGCCCACCTGGGGGGGTGGAGGGGGAGAGTGCCTTTGAAGTCGCCAGCAGGGGCTGCCCCTGCTGTGCCTTTCCAACCACCCAGGGCCAGCGCAGCGGTGGGGGCATCCTGGGGGAGGTGGGTCTGGAGGCAAGGGTCCAAGCTTGAGAACCTGAGTCCCGGCAACAGCCCAGGCAGGAGCTAGCTGCAGCATCCCCGCTACCCTCTTAGCGGTGGGGGGTGGGGTGGGGGACCAAACCCGGCCCCGCCCTCACCCTCCTCGGCCTCTCGCCATCGTGTCCCACCTCCCCAGCCTCACCCTGGGCACCCTAAAACAGGGTAGGGCCTGAGAAGGCGGTTACAAAAGGAGTGGCCCTGCGTGGGACTGAGGTCTAGTGGCGCCTGGCCACAGAGGGGGAGGGGGAGAAGGCCTCTGGCGCGGGGCGGTGTCACGCAGGCCCCGCCCCAGCCACTGGCTGGCCCGCGCCACCCATTGGTCCCCGAGAGCAGTGACTCGTACGCTGAGCAGGAAGGAAACCGCTCCCGAGAGTGGCCGCGTCGTCTCCTCGGCCGTGCTGCCGCCGCTGTCGCCCCCCGCCTGTCCTCCCGCCCGCAGGCAGCATGAGTGGCCTGCGCGTCTACAGCACTTCGGTCACCGGCTCCCGCGAAGTAAGTGCGCGCCGAGACGGGCCGTGGGGGGACAGCCAGGGGCCGGGGCTGGAGCTCCGGACCCGCCCCCCAAGACAGGGGTGGAGCAGCGGGGCCTGGGCTGGACCACGGAGATCTGGGGGCCTCATCCAGGGCCCATTCCTCAGGCATCTTAGGTCCGAACTGCCTGTACCCATCCCCCATCACCTAGATAGATAGCTGCCCTCCGCACCCCCACGACCGGCTGCCCCGCCACATCCGTAACCTTCTCCGTGGGGTGGCGGTGGGGGTCTTTCCTTACCTGCCTCCAGGCCGGCTTGGCCCACTCAGCTCCTAGCTACCCCCCCTGTAGCTTTTCGCCCCTCCCATCCTGCACACCACAAGCCTGACTCACCTACCCAACTGACCAGTGAACACAAGCCTTTCCCAGCGTGTGGAGGGGGCCCAACGTGTCTGGTCACAGACAGGACCCCCAGCCTGACCTCTGATGCCTGCTGGCCCTCTGCCCCAGATCAAGTCCCAGCAGAGTGAGGTGACGCGAATCCTGGATGGGAAGCGCATCCAGTACCAGCTAGTGGACATCTCCCAGGACAACGCCCTGCGGGAAGAGATGCGAACCTTGGCGGGCAACCCCAAGGCCACCCCACCCCAGATTGTCAACGGGGACCAGTACTGTGGGGTATGTGCCATGGGAGCTGGAGGCTGGGGAGGGGCAGCGACACTGGGGGGCTTCCTGCGCCAGCTCTCGGGACCCACCCCTGCCTCGCGCCCTCCCCCAGGACTATGAGCTCTTCGTGGAGGCTGTGGAGCAGAACACACTGCAGGAGTTCCTGAAGCTGGCCTGAGCCACGCCCACCACCGTCCACCTCCGCCCCTGGCTCTGCAGGCACACTCCCGTCCTCGCGCCACGGCCACCGGGTGGCCGCCGCCCGCTGTGAAGGGCCTTGTGACCAGTTATGTCATTCCTAACCTTCTGACTTTGGCACCCTTCCCCCAGCCCAGGCCCCTCCTCCCCTCTAACCGTAGCCCCTCTTCCCACTCAAAGGCAACATTCCGAATCCACTAGTCTTCAACCACAGTTCCAGGGCTAGCTGGCTACCCCAGCCAGGCCTGAGGCGGCCACCTGCCCAGTACTGGCCCAGCAGGCACTATGTTGGTGCCAGCAGTCAGGGCTCTGCCAAAGGCCCCGCAATCCCTGTCAGGGGAGCATGCAGACAATTAAACAGTCCATTCCATTGGCGCTGTGTCTGTCTGGTCGTGGCCTTGGCCATCTGGGGCAAGGCTGGGAGAGGTGACTGAGGCGGGGCACTGTGGCAGGGCAGTTAGCAGCCCCAGGTGGCAGGTCATGTGTGTGTGTGATGGTGCATGTACTTGCATCTGTGTCTAGCTAGCAGGCCTGTGTGGATGGCAGCTCCCAGGGACAGAGCTCAGGCCTGTGCAGTGTCCAGGCTTTGGTGTGAGTGTGCGCCCAGGCAGGCTTCCTTGTCTGGGGGCCAGCGAGTGTGGGTGTGCCATGGGACTTGGGGTACAGCTTCACTGCTGCCGGTCTGGGGCCAGGGCTGTGTCCCACTGGCTTGTGCATTTGTGCAAATGTATCTGCAGGCCGCACACTCGAGGCCCAGCTGCGGACGTGGGTATAGAAAGCCCGCTGGACCAGCCCTTCCGTGCTGGGGAACTGCTTAGGCCTCGTGGGCGCCCGAAGAACCTGGAGGACAAAGACCTGAGCCAGGCTGACCGGCAGGGGCTCGGGTTACCGAGGGGGCGTCCGCACCACCCCCCACCCAGACCCAGCTGGGTTCCCCGCCCACCCTGGCACCCTGCTCAGTGGCTGGGCTTAGAGGGCCTGGCAAAGCAGCAGCTTTATTTGGGGCTGGGGCCAGGGTCTGGAGCGGAACCAGGGTGAGCCTGGGAGACAGGCAGTGGGGCCCGTCGGGCTCGAAGCAGGAGCGTGGCATTGGGCACCAGGCCTGCGGCCTGCAGCGTGACTGTGTCGTCACTGTAGACCGTGGGTGGGAACGTGCTGAAGATCTCAAAGTCAGCGGAGTCCATGGCCCTGGGGACGGACCAGGGTGGTTAGGTGGATCTGGAGGAATGGGCCTACCTGCAGCCTGTGCCCCTGTAGCACCCACCTAGCCCTCGAGAGCAGGGTCCGCACATCCCCCACAGTGTCCTTGGGCCACATCATCAGCAGAAAGGCCTGCTCACAGTTCTCGGACTTGATGCGCAGCATGGAGAGTGGGGGCACCGGCGTCTGGGGCGACTCCTGGCTCCTGCAGACCCCGGGCCAGTCAGTGCCATGGGAAGCCCAGTCTCCACCCCCACCCCCCCTCGGGTCCTCACCTCTGACGCTCGGCAGCCAAGGCAGGCGTCTCTACCATGATCTCCTGGATGCGGCCTGGCAGCGGGCAGTAGTACTGGAAGGACAGAGGGACCTGGCGGGTTAGCTGGGCAGTGGCTCCATGTGAACCGGGACCCAAGAAGGCGTGGAACTAGAGCACCTGCCCCATCCTCGCCACCACCCCTCCAGCTGTGCTTCCCCTTAGTCTACATGGGGGTCCGTTCCGTAGATACAGCCAGTGGGGTGCCATCCTGGGAAGTAACATCTAGACTGTGCTCTGAAGCTTGAGGAGTCCTTAGAAATGGGGCGGGGGCAGCAGGGATGTTCCAGGCAGCACGGGCAAAGACCCTGAGCTCAGGAGAGGCCCCTGGAGGAGGTGGCAGCAGAGGGAACTGCTGAAGCTGGAAACAGGTTGGACTGGTAGAGGCTGGAGGGAGGGAGGGGCTGTATGTCTGGCGGCCTGGAGGGCAGAGATAAGGAGCCTTCCCCGCTCCTCCCTAGAACACTAGGAGGATTTCAGCACAGAAGATCCCAGACATGTTTTCCAAGGAGGCGGCGGGGCTCCCAGGAAGGCCTGTTGGGTGATAGCTTGGTGGGTGGTGCAGTTCTGGGAGCCAACAGAGCAGACAGGGCTTGGCACTGTGGGGTGAAGGAGGCAGGGGCGTCCTGAGAACAGGTGTGTCCTTCCTGAGGCAGGGGGAGGGGCAGCAGGCTGAGGAGTGGAAGGGTGATGAGTTCTGTGAGGACCTGTTGGATTTGAGGGGGCTGGGGAGCAGCCAGGAGAGGATATTGGGACTGAATTAGATTGCGTTGGTCTAATCCATAACGGGCAACCTTGGCCATGGGGGCTCATCCCAAAGCCTGAACCTTGAACTTTCTCCTCTTCCTGCCACAACCCCTTTGTCCCCACTCCCTCCCGCCAGCCTACTGCTGGGTCCCAGAGTCCAGGGGCGGCTGTCTGGGGTGATCTTACCTGCAGGGTATCCCGAATGGGGCCCCTGATGTCAACCACCTCACCCTGGCGGATCATGACCTTGGGGAGCCTGTTCAGAAACTTCTCGGCAGTCATCTGGGAGCCTGCGGCCAGGGAGGAGGGTGTTGGGAGCCTGGCTGCGGGAGGAGGGGAGCACCGCAGGAGCAGCCTCGGGCTGTGCTCACCTGAGTTGTCCACACTGCCTGAGGCCTTGAACATCCCGTGGCCCACCACACGGCCCTCACCTGGGAATGGGTCCAGCCCACCCTCGGGGTAGAGCTGATTCCGAAAGTCGCTCACCTGGCAGGAAGGCAGGGAGAGGAAAGCAGGCCCCGCCCTTCAGCCCTGCTGCCCACAGAGGCCTGGGACAGACCCTGGGAACCAGCCACCAGAGCAGGGCCCACAGCACATGGTGCCGTCACCCCCCACGGTACCCGCGATCTCTGCCTGCTGACGCCACAGCACCGACTTCCTCCTCAGACCACTGTGAGGGAGGTGTGACGGGGTGGGCCCATGGTGCCACCACCTCACTTGCCACCATCAAGGCCCATCGCGTCAGCCCCCACCTGGGTAGGTCGCCTCCTGCGCCCTGAGCCTGGCGCACTCGTTCCCCAGCTGTGGGCACTGCCTCCCTGTGTGCCCCCAGCAGCACCCAGTCCACCCCCCAGCACGGAGCTGCGCCATCCCTTAGGCCCCAGCATCCAGCCCCTTTCCTTTCTGCACTTGGGACCCACAGGACTGCCTGCCATACCCCGGCTCCTGGGGAGCTCCTGAGTCCACGGGGGACGGGAGGCAGCAGCCAGCTGGCCTCCTGCCCCTTCCCAGCCCGCTCTGGGGCTTGCCTCCTCCTGCGATCATTAGGCTGGGATCCTCCCTGAAGGGTACTAGAGCGGCTCCCCACCTCAGCCTGGAAGACCCCCAAAGGGAGCTGCTTCTGCTTGTCCCCACCCTCTCCACAACCCCCACCTGACCCTAACCTTAAAGGGGCCTCCATGGGGGTACAGTCGCTGGAGCTCCGAAGGGAAGAAGCCGTCCAAGATGTCGCGGAGGCAGCGCTGCAGGGGGAGGGCAAGGGGGCAAGCTGAGTGTGTGTGGTGCCCTGCAGCCTGCTCGCCCAGCAGGCCCCGCTGGTGAATGCCCTGGGCTATTTCCCAGCGGTCTTGGACAGGGGTCCCCTGCTGTGGTTGCGCCGAGGTGCCTGGCAGGCCGGGCTTGGGTGAGATGGGCCCCACCACCTCCCGCTCTCTCGGTGGCCAGGCCTGCCCCCGGCCCTAACCTGGGTGGAGGGCTCGTGGAAAGGCCGGAAGGGCCCGTTGAACATGACGATGCCATTCCGGTACAGCTTCAAAGGGATGGGCTCCAGGGGGCGGAGCCTCGCGCCACCTGGAACTGCCGTCACCTGGGTCTCGCCCTCGGCCGCCAGTTCGCTGAGGTCCATCAGGCTGGCCAGCAGCCTGTCAAAGTCCACCTCCGGGGGCACCGCCGAGTCCCCTGGCGAAGAGGGTGGGCCCCCATGATCCTCTCCTGATGGGATGGCTCTGGGGGCCACCGTCTCCCTAAGTCACTCCCTGAGGAAACAAGGGCAGCTCACTGTGCCCTCGGGGCGTCCATACCCATTGTCACCTTCACTCCTGCACCAACCCTCTGCTGTGGGGCTTACCATCTGCAGAGGAGGAAACTAAGGTTAACCCCCCAAAACCCACCACCAACTCCAACAGCTCCCTGGCTTGAAACCCTCGATCCTCTGGGGAGAGGCTGGGTGTTTGAACCTCTGACCTCTCCGTCAGCAGCCTGGCACCTGACCCACTGAACCCCAGGGCTCCTTAGGCTGGGGGTTAAGTGATGGGCCAGGGGGCCAGGGGTCGCAGGTGGCCGAAACAGGATTTGGTCCCGGGTCTGTCCGTCAGGCGCTGGGGTTGGCAGCTGAGCAGCACGGGGCAGAGTTCGGCCTGAGGGTCACGGCCGTCTGGTTCTGGTCCCGGCTCCTATTTCTGGCTGTGCACCCCTTGGCCAAGTCCTTGAATGGCCACCAGCACTGGCCTCTCGAATGGTGGCTGTGGGAGCCCAGGATGACCAGGTGAGGGCGTGCTCTGCACAGTCACGGTTGGTTGTTGCCCCCAAGGAGCCTTGGGCCACCGCCCTCCCCCAGGCAAAACGGCAGGTGTTATTTATCTTAGCCTCACACTCGGAAACAGGCCCACCACGGGGAGGTGGACCGGGAGGAGGGCCGTGTGGGCCGGGGCTGGGTTCTGAGTGGGGCTGACTGAGTCTGTCTCCCACCGTTTTGCCCTTGGGGGGGGGGGGGCGGGGTTGGGCCGGTTTTTTTTAGGGGGGCTGCCCAGCCAACTGCTGGACAAAGGGATGGGGCCCACTGAGACTGTGCCTGTGTAGGCTGTTTCTGGGCCACAGCACTCTGAGCAGCTGGGCCCACGGCCGCCGTGCAGGGTGCCGGAGCAGCGAGGCAGGCGGGCGGGCGGGCTGCCAGCTGGGCACAGGCTGGGGCCTGGTCCCCCCAAATAGACCATCCACCAGGATGTAACCAGAACCCAGCACCCCAGTGACTTCCTGGGCCTTCTTGGAGGCTATTTATCACCAGGACAGCCCGGCTGCAGCAGGATGTGGGTCAGGACTCTGGGGACCCAGTTCCTTTCCGCACAGAGGCATGGCACAGGGGTGCGGATGTGGGTGGCTGTACTTCCTGTTGCCCTGTGGGAAACGAAGCAGTTGGCCCAGCTGGCCTTCCCTCTCCCCCCACCCTGCCGTCACTCGTGAGGCTGCACCTGCCACCATGTCCCCCAGGGGCTCCCTGCACCCCCGAGACTCTGGCTGGCGGGAAAACCTGCGCAGATCGCCCTGGGCGCCCCTGTGGCTTCAGAACGACCGAGATGGTGCTTTCCTTCAAACCAGAGTCGCCAACAAGAGGGAGAAGACACCTCCCGGACACGGGGGTGGAGGCCAGGGCACACCAGGGCAGCTCTGGAGGTTGGCCGAGCTGTGTGCTGAACACAAAGTGACGCACACGGACACCCCCCTCATTCACGACACGAAGCACTGGTACGCCGTGGGAAAGCCGCCGTCTGCTAACCCTCCTGCTCCCCTAAAGATGTACAGCCTCGGACCGCCACACAGGGCCACTTGGCATCGTCAAGGGCTCCGCAACAGGAGGCTGGGGTTTGGGTTTAAGGACAAATTGGTCAACCTTAAAATAACAATAGAGAAGTTCTCATATTTGGTGCTTGCTGTCCCACCCGACTCCTACAGGCGAGTGAGAAAGACCTGGGAGGTCAGGTGACTTGGCCAACACTGACCACGCAGCACAGAGCCAGGGAGGCTGATTCCAGCAAACTGCCTCGGGGAGCCAAGGCTATTCGGGGAGCTGATGGGTGTGGGGCTGCAGGGACCCCTGGGGCTGTGACCAAGATGCAGTGCCAGGGGAGCTGGCTGATACAAGTGGCCCCAGAGGCAGCCCCCCCGGCCAGCTGCACTCGGCTCTGCTCAGTGAAAGCAAGGTGGGCTAGGCAGGATCAGCAGCACGGGGGACCCAGGAGGCGGGGCCCTGGCTCTGGGTGAGCCCAGGCTGAGAGGAAGGCCACACAGCCAGGCCGGCTGATGTCAGCTGAGGTCTGACCCCGAGCTGATGGGGGAGAGGGGTGGTGGAGGGTCACAGGAGCGGACAGGGATTAGAGGGCCCACCCTGCTCTGCCCTGAGCAGAGTTAGTAGCAGACCTGGCCGGCAGGCATCCCCTGAGCCTTGACCCTCGTCTCAGTGGACTGGGTGGCTGTGGGGGACCCTTGCCCTGCCCCACAGAGTCAGTGGGGAGTCTGTCTGTCAGGGTGATTCAGTGAGGTGGCTGCGCCACGCGCCTAGGAGGCAACACATTCCAGATGATGAAGCTGGGCCTGGTAAGGCCACGTGCTCAGGTCACGTGGCTTCCAGAGCTCTGGTGGCCACACAGACTGCTTCTTGGTGGATCCCTGGGATGCAGCTCCAGGGGGTTATTTTTCAGGGAGGGGAGCAGGTGAGATGGGGGGGACATCCGTCCCTGAGGCCTCAGGCCACTCCGGGAGCTTAAGATTTTACCAGACTATGGAGCGGAGCCTGAGTGATGCCCGAGTCTGAGCTCCTTGGCCGTCAGAGCCAGCCCCCCACTGCCATCACCGTATCCCCCCTGGGCTCAACAGCCACACGGCCAGGCTCTGCCATTACTGAGCCATGTGACCGTGTGCCAGGGGACAGACCTCTCTGGGCCTCTGCTCCGTCTTCCTTGGTACCAGGGTCATAACCGCCCCTTTACAGGGCGGCGACTAGGCTTGGCGGAAGTGCCTGGCAGCTGCTGGCTGTTGTCACCCATGCCCACCCTGCTGCTCAGCACAGGCCTGCGCCTGGGCCGCTCCCAGCACCCCAGCTCCTCCAAGAATCCTTCCCAGGAGCCCCCTCGAGCTGGGGCTTCTCAGCCCTTGTCACGTGCTTGTTTGTGAGTCCAGCCACATCGAGTGTCCCTGAATGCCACGCTGGAGCAGCCCGACCCTGCGTGCTGTTGCCACACGAAGTGCAGTCGGCTTGACCAAGGTTCATGAGGACCCTGGCAGACAACGTAGAACTGCTCGGCTCCCTGGGGCTGGGTGCTGGCGCTGTCCCACTCGGCTCTTCCTGCTTGGACCCGAGTGAAGGCCATGGGCGCCAGTGCACCGTGGGGCGCAGCGCCTAAGTGTCACTCTGGGGGCACTCTGTCACTCTGGCTCCCCACTCCACTCTTCCCATCAGCAGGTGGGCTTGCACGGGGGCTGGCCAGGCGGGTCCCTGGGGAACCACCCACTGTTACAAGACCCCAAAGGAAATGGAGCTGTTAAGCTGCCCTGCTAGCTGGGCCCTGCCCTGGGACTTAGGCCGCGGGCACGCTGCCCTCAGAGGGGCCCGGGGAGAAAAGCAGGCTCTGAGAGGCCCGCCCAGACAGAGGCCGACTCCATCCCACCTGAAGCCCTTTGTCCAGGCCCTGTGAGCACCACACTGCTCCTGCCCAGCTGTCTGTGCAGCCAGCAGGCTAGTCTCCCCAACACACCACCAGGCCAGCCCGCCTTGCCACAGCCAATCCCGTGTCTGCATGCGTGCAAACACACACACACACACACACACACACACGCCAGGTCCACGTGCCAGGTACCCCCAGAACTCTCCATGACGCTTCCTGCAGTCTGCTCACTGACCACGCAGCCGGCAGCAGTGAGCACTCGCCTTCTAGCCTGGAGGCAGCCTAAGGCACACAGCCGAGAAAATGGGCACAGAGCGGTGCAGCAACTGCTCATACAGGGTCAGAGCAACCCAGACCCCCCCCCACCCTCAGCCCGAACCTGGCCACCTAAAGCAGATCCCTTCCCACAATGCCTTGGGCCAGCTCTGAGAGGCAACTCAGTGCCCCACACATGTCAGCACTGAGATGTGGAGGAGGGGGGGCTGTGAGGCAAGCCTAAGGGAGGGGAGAGAACGGGCAAGGCACATCCAGTGGGGGAGTGGGGACACCCAGCAGAAGTGGCAACCAGGGAAAGGAGGAGCCTAGACTGCAGGGCGGCAGAGAGTATTCCAATCCAGAGAGAAAGGGTGGGAGCTGGCAGGGAGACGTGGAGGAGGGCAGGAACTGGATGGGGAGAAGAGGAGCTTCCAAAGGAGGATGGTGGGGAGTGGATTTCAGAGACAGCTGAGGAGGGAGAGCCGCTCAGGGAGGAGGGAGAGGAGCTCAGAGGGCTGAGGAGCTCAGGGAGGGAGGAGCTTAGAGAGGAGGGGGAGGAGTTCATGGAGGATGGGGAAGAGCTCAGAGATGGGGGAGAGGAGCTCAGAGAGCTGAGGAGGAGGTAGAGGAGCTCAGGAAGGAGGGGGAAGGAGCTCAGAGAGGGGTAGGGAGGAGGGAGCACGATGAGCCAAGAGTTAACCTGAGCTCTGAGCCCTGAGGCTCCACAGCATGTCAGGGCTCCACCTTTCATCTTTCTCCACCCTGTGATGGGACGGGGTGCATGATCCAGCCTGAGGCAAAGCCACTGTACGGCTTCTCATGGGGGGCAGCGGGATGGTAACCTGTGGGCCCACTTGATCCTCATACCTAAGGCAGCTAGTTCCTGCTCTAGAATGTTCTCAATGATCCCCACTTTGGCCCAACACAGATCCTCTGGCTCACCCCTCCCCTGGCCTGCTGCCCTGCCCATGGGGTGAGTTTCTATGGGAGTGGGCCCGGAAAATGAGCCAGAGATGAGGACTTGGGGGCAGAAAGGGGCGAGCCAGGGACAGGGGCACCCAAATGGAAAAAGGGTGTCAGAGAACTGGGGAGAATCAGAAAGCAAAGACAGGGCGGGGGCCACAGAGGGGACTTCCGGGAAGGAGCGGTTGGGTGGCTTTCACAGCACCAAAGGCGGCCCTGCGGGACCCGCCAGCAGACAGGCGGGCAGAGGGGATCACAGAGCCAGAGTCCAGCCATCAGGATGGAATTGTGTCCCTCCACGCCCAAAACTACGTGGTAAATCCTATTCCTCTAAGGATGCTCGGCTACTAACTGAAAGTGGGAGGTTCAAATCCACCAGCCCCTCCTCAGGACAAGGCAGAGGCGGTCTGCTTCTGTGAAGAGTGCCAGCCGTGGAAACCCCGGGGGGCAGTTCTAGTGTGTTCCGTGGGGCAGTTCTAGTGTGTTCCGTGGGGTCCCTGGGAGTTGAAGTTGGCGTGATGGCTGCTTCGGTGGGCTCTGATCCCATTTGGGAATAGGTTTCTTTGTCGTGTTACTGAGAGAATAGTCGTGTGGAGTGTTTTAAATCCATGTCTTCTGAGACACGGCGCAGGTCACCTAAGCAGAGGTGGAGGAAGATGGAGTCCAAGCCCCAAGAAACCAAAGGAAAAACACCACCAAGGAACAAGGCCCTTCCCTCCGAGCTGACAGGGAGCCCTCCCGACGCCAGACTGCCAGCCTCCTGAAGGAACAGAAAGATGCGTGTTTGCGAACGCGTCACACTAGAGGTATTGACGCTGGCACCACGCACAGGGCTGCCCGCTGGGCTCAGGCACAGAAACAACTTGGAGGAGGCTGCAGGCCCGGGCAGCGTTCCGCCCGCTCGGTGGAGCATAGGGTTGCTATGGGCTGGCCCGAACTCAATGGCGCTTTAGAACAACAGCATCACAACAGTGCTAGAGAACAACGATAGTCCTCAGAGGGGTGGGAGCACCCCACCCGCCAGGTCAAAGGGCATCCTTCAGGAAGCTGTGGGGGTCATGTGGTGCCTGAGACCAGTTTGCTGTGCAGACCTCTGACCCAGGGACAGACCCAAGGCCTCATCGCTCCCTCAGGTGGTGCAGTGGATGAGTGTGAGGTGCTGGGGGCCCTGCCTGCAGCTCTGCCCTGGGCAGCAGAGCTGAGCCTGCCCTCCTGTCTGCAGTCCATCCTGGATCTGCCTCCTGCCTCCTGGACAGCATCTCGTCCAGAGGACTGTCACCGGGCCTGATGTCTTGCCCCGCCACACAGCAGCCAGCCTCTGCCTCCTTGGTGCACATCTGAGCCATGGGCAGGTCTCCGTAGAAAGGCCAGGAAAGCTGCTGTGGTGGTGTCTTGATCTGGTGTCAATTCGAGGACTCAGAGGGAAGGGGTGGGGTCTAGCCTGTCAACCAGGTCAGAACCAATGAGGCCTCTGTGTGGGCATGGCCTTCTCCTGAGGATTCTGGGAACTCCTGT